GGACCGAGGCCGGCTGCCTGGGCTGGCCTTTCTGGAAAGCTCCCTGCGTTTCCACCATGCAGGAATGCCTCGGTGCATTGTGGGATGCCTGTCCTCTCGTGAGTACGCAGGGCAGGGGGAGGAGGGAGGGGGCTACAGCTCCCCCCTCTTCAGCACTCATCAATAATGCACTGGAAAACAGCGCTGCACGCTTCAAAGAGGCGGGCGGGGGTGCGCCTCACTCCAGGGGCAGACCTTTTGGAAGGCCGGCTGGTGGTGCGCAGAACGCTGCCATCCTTTGCCCCCCCCTCCCCCTTTCCCGCATTTGATCAAGTCTAAAGCCTGGGCACATCGAGAGAAAAAGGGGGCTCGGAACACGGCCCCTTCTAGGCGGCAGTAAAACCAACCACGACTCAAGGAATTCCAGGACCAGGGCCGTCTTTCTGACACTAAGCAGGCCAGAAGGGCGTCGCCTGAACCAAGGCCAGTGGAGGCCGCAGCCCGTGGGTCACGGCTACCCGGGCACCCCAGCCCCCAAAGGTTTGGCCCCCAGTGAAGGAGAAGAGAAAGCCTTCGCCGGGGTCCTTTGCCCCCCAGTACAGGTGGGGGAAAGGAAGGCAAAGATTTAGCAGGGGCAGAAGCTGAAGGCGGGGCCAGGGGAGGGGGCTGCCACTGGGGCCCACGACCACCCTCAGCCGTGACAAACCACTGGGTGATTCTCCCACCTGTTCTCCCGGCCTACCTCACAGGGTCGTTGTAAGGCACCTGAGGCTCTTGGGGGAAAGAGAGGATAGGAATCTAACCAATTCCAAACAAATAAACCGGGACTATGTTTCTATAGAACTTTTGCTTGCCAACCTTCCTATTCAGAGCTGAAAAGGTCTTTCCTTTTCCCTTCTCGCTCTCCTCCTTGGAGGCTCCTCTCTGGGCCCTCCGTCCCGTCCCTTTCCTTACGATGGGAGGCGGGGGAAAGTTCTCCTCCACCCAGCCCATCTCCTTCTCCAGGCGCCAACCCTGGCAGGGCCTGGTGGGCTGGGCCAAGGAGGGCGACCCACAGCACCCACCCCACCCCCAGGCTGGGCCCCGGAGCGCACCTGGCCTCTCCCTCCAGATCCAGCGGGGCTCCTCATTTCCAGCCAGGTCTGGGCTCTCCTGGGCTCCACGCTGCTCAAAAGCCAAGAAACCCGGGGGCAGAACTGCAAGCGCCAGGCCCTCGGGCAAGACTCTCTGAAGAGGCCGGACCCAGGTGGGACGCGGGGCAGCACCGTCACTCAGCAGTTGCTTCCGCTGCTCACTCCCCGGAAGCCCCAAATGTTTATTCACTTTTAATCCAGGAAGATCATCTCCACAACAGAGGAGGAGGAGGAGGAGAGCCCAGGTGAACCAGGAAGCAGCCCTGCCCTGACACCTCATCCTCCGAGAGCCACAGAGCCAGCGGCGGCTGCTCAGTCAAGGGAAACCGGAATGGCGGATGAGTCCCCAACTGGGTGAGCATCCCACTCGGGGTGGGAGGCTGGGCCACACCTAGGCAGCCGCTCGGCAGGAGAGGCTGGCACAGGTGTGCATCCACGCCCTCCCTCTCCAGGCCCACACGCCAAGGGTGCAGCACCCCCTTCGGCCCAGGCCGGAGGGGGATGGTCTCCAGCCCAGCCTGCTCAAGGCCCAGCTCCACAAGGAGGGTGCAGCACGCAGGGAAGCGGCTGGCCACAGAAGCAGCCAGCCGAGGCCATCGCCAGGCAGAGAGCTCAGGATCTGAAGGACGCCCAAGCAGGAGACGGCAGTCTCAGAGCCCTGGTGCCGCAGCTCTGCTCAAGGGTGTAAGGTGGGCCCATGGACAGCAGCTTCGTACAAAGCTCGGGGGAGTGGGCGTTCGTGCCCAGGAACCCCTGGGTTCTCCCTTGGCTCCTGGGGAGCTCTGGCTGGAGGAAGGGCAATGGAAGGGCCAGGGTCTCCAACGCTTAGAGGAGGCAGGGAGGGGCCTGCAGCCTTCCAGCTGTTCTTCTCTGGGTTCACTGGGAGCTGCGGGTGCCCGGCCCCGTTGGCAGAAATCCCCCATGCCAGGCTGCCCCTGAACTGGTTTGGCAAAGAGCTCTCGAGCAAGATGGCACCGTCTGTCTCACTCCGTCATCCGCACATATTGTACGCCTTGATCCAAGTGAAGCTGCTGGGGAACCACACCCAGGAACGCCCAGGCAGGTAGGGGCAGGCTGCCTTACTCACTCGCAGGCCACTCTCGGCACATGCTCAGAGGCACCCTGGTCACTTGACAGCTACTGGCCACGGACCCAGGTGCTAAGGGCGATGCCTAGCTGGCTGCCATGGTGAGGACCTCGCTGCCATGGCAACACAGTGGTGCAGCACTCTTCAGGAAGCCCTGGCGATGTGGTTGTCAGCGGCAGAGGGTGGGGCCTGAGCCACAGAAGGCCTGGCAGACAGCAGCAGTGGGCCCGGGGGCAAGCCAGGCCCAGCACGAGGGGGGTGCGGGCGCTGGAAGTGGCCCCCTCCCCTACGGGCAAGCACATCCACCAGCGTGCAAAAGGAGATGCGACAGGAAGCTGGGATTTCAACCCGAAAGGAGGTGACATCCTTTGTGACACAGACATAAATACACCCGCCCACTGCAACTGGAGTCCCACATGGCTTCAGAATATCCTGCTGGTGTTGCTGGGGTGTCAATCAAGAGCGGAGAAAGTCTGTGCTTGGTGGCCCCAGAGATTCATGGGGTAGGGGGCCTTTTTGCATTCGGGAATTTTCAGGGGCAAAACCAGGGCCTGCACCCACCTTCCCCTTAAAACCTCAGAAACCATTTGCTGACCGTCTCCCCCACTTGACGGGGGCGCAAATCCAGGTGCAGCTAAACAGACAGAAACTGCTCAACCTCCCCAGAGGCAAAGCGGGTAGGCCGACCCAGGAAGCACCCAAAGCACAACGCACAAGCCTTCGCACCCAGTGCCCACCCGCCATTCTGCCTGGCCAAGGACACAGCGGCTTCTAGCCTCTCTTGGCAAAACCTGCCCAGGCAATTTGGTTAAAAACACGCCAAGGATGAGCCAACTTATAAGGGCCTCCAGTAAGTCCTAAAAATGGCATTTTGTGCAGGCTCCCCCACAGCAGAAGGGCACCTGTGACACCTGCTTCAGACTCAACGGTATTGGGGTGGGGGAAATGCTCCTCATTCCCACAGAGACCCAGGTGGCTGACACCACATAACCAGCAAGCAGGCCTGCACCAGGAGGTCCCCTCCCCTGGGAGGAGGCTATTCCCGGACAGCAAGGAGTTCCTGGGGGGATCTAAGGGGGGCGATCGTGGGGGGTGGGTCACAGAAGCGGGGGCTCGGCCTGCAGGCCACTGCCCACCTTCGGGACACTCCCTGGGGCCGCCGAGGGCGCTGGGGCGGCCGTCCGAATCTCCCAGCCGGAGACCGAATCTCCCAGCCGGAGACCGGCTCCCCGGCCCCTCGGAAAGGACCCCCTCGGACGGCTCGCTTTCCTTCGCCCGGGCGGGAGCGGGCGAGGCCGGACGCAGCGCGGCAAAAGCAGCAGAGTCACTGGCGGAGGCTGCGGGCTCCCCCTCGCCTTCTGCCGCTTAACCCCCGGCGAGGCCCACCGCCCGGGCCGCTAATGCCGCCGCCAGGGCCCCGGGCCCCTCGCGGGCCTGCCTGGGAAGCCGCGGGGCGCCGGTGGGCGGCCCAGCGGGTGACCTTCGGCCCGACCCTCGAGGCTGGGTCCCGCCGGAGACCGGCTCGCGTTTCGCTCGGCGGGGCCCGGGGCCGACGCCCCGTCCCGCCATCGCCCCACAGTGGGGGAGCCGAGTCGGCGCGGAGGCGCAGCGAACCGCCGCCGCCAACTCCGGCCTGCCCGCAACGCCCGCCCGCCGCCCCAGCCCGGCCTTCGTCCGGCCCCGGTAAACAAGAGGGGCCGCCGCCGCCGCCGCCGCGGGAAGACTCACCGGCTCGGAATTGCGTTCGTTGCCCGCCGCCAGCGCGATGCGCAAAGACATCTTCTCCCGCGGCCCAAGGCCGGACGCGGCGGGGGCGACGAGGGCCGCTGGCCTCCCCCGAGTGGCCACTCATGCGCCCCGGCGCGCTCGGAGGGCGAGAGGCGGGGGGAGGCGGCTGGAGCGGCGGGGCGGCACCTGTGAGGGGAGACGCGGCCGGAGCGGCGCTAGTGGGGCCGGGGGGCCATGGGGGGCGGGGGGGGGGGGCGCGAAGGCAGGCCCGGGTCAGCTCCGCTCTCGGCCGCCGCCTCGCGCTCGCCTTCACTGCCGCCGCGGTGCCCGGCCCGGCCGCCGCACTCTCCCCGCAGGCAGGAAGGGGTAGCGGCGCTTCCTGCCACCCCCCATATGGCTGCGTCCCCGCGCTGGGAGGGAGGGGGAGGAGGAGGGATGCGGACGCAATCCGAGCCCCGGGAAGCCCCCTCCCGTCGCGGCCGCCAAGGCCCCCCTCCTCCCGGCCAGGCGGGGCGCGGTTCAGCTGGGGCTGCTGCCCGGGGGCGACGGCAGCGGCCGCTTGGGGACGAGGGCGGGGGGCGAGGCAGCGGCTGCTCCGGGCGGCCAGAGAGGCGGGCGTCGCGCAGGAGGAGGAGGAGGAGGAGGGGAGCGCGGGGGGAGGAGGAAGGGCGGCGAGGAGGAGGCCGGGCCGGACGACACCCGGCAGGCGCAGGAAGCGCCCCCGAGCTGCTTAAAGGCGCCGCCGCCGCCGACCCGGCGGAGGGCAGCGGCTCCCTCCGCTCCCCAGCAGGCGCGGGAGGGGCCGGGGAGGTGGGCCGCCGCCCGAAAGAGGTTTGAGGGCCGCCGGGGGCTCAGGCGGCGGGAAGAGCCGCTCCCCGGCCCGGTTGTCTTCCCCGAAGTCAGGCCGGCTTCTGGCCCGAAATGCCGCAGGAGGAGGAGGGCTCTCGGAGCGCGCAGAGGCTTTGGGACAAAAGCCTGGCTGGGAGCGGAAGAGCCGCCCTTTGGCTGCCGGGCAAAGAGGCCGGTTCGGCTGCAAGAGGAATCCTCACCCCTCCGAGGACCCACGATTTACGGGGAGGGGGCGCTTCCCTTCTCGGGCACCTGCCCTGAGAACATCCTCCAGGCCCCTTGAGTCCCGCCAAGGCTGCGGAACCGGCGGTGTCCCTGGAGCCCCGAGAAAGTCCGCCGGGCCTGGGCTCCTTCCTTCAGGAGACGGGGGGGCGGGCGGGGCGGATGGCAGGAGGGGGTGGGAGGCCCCGCGTGGGAGGGGGCCCCGCTCTCTTCTCCGGCCGGGCTGGAAACTAAGAAGCCGCGGCGCAACCGGCTCGGGCTCCCCCCTCCGCCCACCCCCAGGCTTTGGGCCAATCTCCCCGTCCTGTTTGTCTGGGGCTCGGCTGGGATAAGGATGCATTCATGGGTCTTGGAGGCAGCCGGTGGGTGGAGGCCTTCGGAGGGGAAGGAGGCCCTGGAACAACGGTGTGCCCCTCCAAGCAGCGGACCCTCCCTGGCAACCCAAGACTCCCTGCGGACTCCCAGAATTCCCCAGCCAGCATCGCCAGGTGGGGACCTCCTGCCCGGCCAGCACCGCCTCAAGCCGCAGCCCCCTCGGGGGAAACGTGCGGAGGCAGCGAGGATCCATGCTCCTGGGCGGCTCCTCACCGGGCCGGCTTGTCCGGGCTGGGCCGAGGGAGCATCTCGCACAGGCGGGACCCTCTGCAGCCCGCAAGCGGCGGCCGCGGACGCCCAGGCTGGCATTTCTCCTTTGCCCCCGGTCAGCAAAGAGGGCGAAGGGGCCCTTCGGCTGCAGCCGAGCGGCTCACAAGGAGAACCGGTTGCCACGGGGAAAGTCGGCGGGAGCGACTTCTTGGCAGGATCCCTGGCAATGCGAAGCGCAACCCGGCAGGGATCCCCACGGACTGCGCGCTTTACTGAACCGGCGGCGTCCGATCTCGGGTTCACGACCCCCTAGGCGTCCCCTGCAAAGTCCGGGGCCCGGGAGGGGTTTCCGGGGCCGCCAGGCCTCCCCTCCGCTGGAGGCTGCCCGCCGTGCCCATGCAGAGCACGGGCACCGCCCCTGCCGGCGCTGATTGGCTGCAAGGCGGCATGGAGCCAGGCCAGGCCAGCCGGCCCGCCCCTTTCCCCCGAGGAGGGCGAGTGGCTTTCACCCGCGCTTTCTATTGGCAGGATGCGCAGCCAATCGCCGTCTGCCGAGCACCGCCCTTAACTCTTGCCTGCCCTGCCGGAGGTACGAGGGAGCGCTTCTGCGCAGGCGCGATCCGGCGTCAGAGCTGAATGCTTCTGCAGAGGAGAACCCCCCCTCCCCCCCTCCCGGGGGCCCCCGGTGCTCCGTCGCTCCCCGCGCGGGCTTGAGCCGGTTGCTCGGTGACCCGGTGCAATCTACGGGGGCTTCTCCGAAAGGCTCTGCAGCCCTCCGCCCTTGGAGTGGGGTCTGCATCACGAAGCCGCTCCTAGAAAGAAGGGGGGCTCCCCGAGCTGGCTGGCCGGGGGTGATGGGCAGCGTGGTGCCCGGAGCGCATCTGCATCTGCCCTGTGGCTTGCCCTCCCCCCCCCCGCGCCCGCTTCTTGCTCGGCACTGCTTGCTCTGCCTTGAAACTCAGCAGCCGGGCAGTCTTGGGGCCCCGGCTGAGAACGGGGCTCAGAAGGCTGCAGGTGGGGGGACTATCAGCCCCCCTCCCCCTCCCCCCCTTATTGCTGTCAGAAGCCGGGATTGGCTGGGCTGCTTTGCAGTGGGGGGGGGGGCTGTGCTGGCTTTAGTAACCTGCAGAGGTGCGGCTGCTGCGATGCCAGGCCTCCTCCTGCCCAGCTAGCAGCCCCAAATAAATCAATAAAGCCGAGGGAAAACGAACAGGGGAGTGTCCAGATGGAGGACGAAGGAAAGAGCTCCCCAGGAAGGAAGTGCATCCCCTGCCCCACAGAAGGAGGATCTCTGCCCCCCCCCCCCCCCCCCGACGGGCTGGTCGCCCCGGGATTCCTATCAAAAGGCCGCAGGAGAAACCAGGACTGAGTTGATTAGAAAGCTGAGCCCGGCTCTTCCAACGGCTCTCTCTGGCTCATAGTTGCAGCTTCCAAATACTTTCCAAGGGGAGCTCCAAGCACAGCACCCAGAAAAAGGCCCCACCGTACCACAGAGCTGTGGGTCCCGGATGCCACTTGTGACAGCATAAACGGGCACTGGAGGCCGGGCTCTAGCTGCTCCCCGGGGCGGGGGGGGCGCTCAGTGGGGCAGGCCCAGAGCGTTGCCATCCGCAAAGAAGCTCCTTGGAGGGGAAGAGGCTGCTTTGGGCTCCAACTCTTTGAAGGAGGTGATGCTGCCTTTTGAGAAAAGGCGATGGCCGCCAGGGGGCAGGATCGGGCCGAGGACAGGCAGCCAAAACAAAGATGGAGGAGGCAGCCAGCTTGGATGGAGCCCCCCCACCCACCCACCCCACCCCCCCGTTGGGCCTTCCGGTCTCCATGGAGTCCTGGGCCTGGATAAGTTGGGCCTGGCCAAGGACAGCTTGGGAGCAGGCCCGGCCTGGCCCTTTCGCTCCCTGGTCCAGGTGGGGGTCAGCCAGCGGAAGATTCTCCAGCAGAAGCAATGAAAGCGGCCGATGAGAGAGACCCCTGCCCAGAATTGTTCTGGGGGGAGGGGGCTGCAAGGCCGTTCCTCCTTGCCCCCTATGAATAGTGGAGAGGTTTGGGCGCCCCAGGCATTGAGGGCCAGAGGTTGGCAGAGGCCCTGGTAGTGCCAGGCCACAGACCTGCTTCTGGGATGCAGCCTATCGTGGCTTTGGGCAACCGTGGCCTATTGCACAAAATGGAACCGACGTGGTTCTTGGCAAGGAGTCCTGGATGGACAGCCGTTCATTTAGTAAGAGTTACAAGGGCGCTGAAAAAAGTGATGTGGGCTCCATTTTTTGCGTGACGGTTGCAGTCTCCCTGAGGTCACAAGGTCAGCATTCAGATTCTTGGCAGCTGACTCATACTTACGACCACTGCAATGTCCTGGGGTCACATGATCCCCTTTGGCCACCTTCTGGCAAGCAGTGGGAAAGCTGGGTTCACTTAACAACTGCGGCAAGAAATGTCATAAAATGGGGCAAAATTCACTTAACCAATTTCTCTTAGCAACAGAAATGTGGGGCTCCATTGTGGTCGTAAGTCGAGAAATGTCTGAATCCTGGTTTGTAAATGATGCTGGCTGAGCCCCCCCCCAACAAGCTAAACCCAAACCATGACAAGGAAAGCATGCAAACCCAGCCTGTAGGTTGGAGGAGGGTGAAGAAGGGGGAGGGGGCTCTATCTGACACTCCCCCCCCCCCAGCACCTGGCTGCAGTCGCCTGTTTGGGAGGCCGGGGGAGGAGGGCATCTGCCAAGGGTCTCCCTCCTCCGGGCTGGCAGAGCTGGAACTTCCCCGGCTCCCGCCCGGTTGACCCTGAGGCTTCCTGGTGTGGTTTCCGCCTGGGGCTGACCCCCGCCCTCCCTGCCCAGACCCACAGGAGAGGAGTCACAAGATCGCCCAGGCTACACACAGCCGCCCTGCTCCGAATCACCTCCGGCCTGGGAGGGGCTTCCTTCCAAGCCTCCTTGGCCATCCAGCCCGACTGCCCAGAGCAGCCAGAGGGCCCGAGAGGAGGGGCAGCCTGCAGGGGAGGCACCAAGGTAGGGACTCTGCTCTGCTGGACGGGGGGCCTCAGAGGAGCCTTCCAGCCCTCTCCCCGCTCTCCTTCGGGGGTGGGGGCTGCAGCTTCCCTCCAGCAGGCCCTGAGGGGGCTCGGCCATCCTACAGTCCGGACCCTGGGAAGCCCCGGCCTCCTTTTCTACCCACTGCAGACTTTGAGGGTAATTTGGGCAAGCCTTCCCCAGAGGGAGCTGCCCTCTTGTGCCCCCTTTGTCTTGAGGGGGGCTCCTTGGGTGGGGGAAAACTTCTGCCTGTGCCCTTGTGAGCTGCCCAGGGTTGGTTGGGTGAGGTGGGTAGCCGTTCCAACCGAAGAAGTCACCTTTGTCCCCGGCCCCGGTCTGTGCCCGGCTTGCAGCTGGCTGGGCTCCACTCAGTTGGGGCTCCTGGAGGGACGGGGAGGGGGCAGCTGCTCTGTTGCTCCTTCACCTGCAGTGGAAGGCAGGCTGAAAGCCCCCCCCCCCGGATTCCTCTAACCATTATGGGGAGGGGTGTCAGACTGAAGTTGGGGGTCCCTGTTTCCCTCCTGACAGGAAGGTTTTTGGACTCCCGCCATGAATCCCGGGAGGGGCTGGCGGGCAGAGGACCCCCGAGAACCCCCCGGGCCAGGGGCCGGGCTCCGCTGAAAGGAAGCTTGGCAAGGGGCGAGCCTGGCCGTGGCCCCTCCCCGAGTGGCTGGTCTCAAGAGACCCATAACTTCTCTTGGCTAGGGGCCCCTCCTTGGGGTGGGGAGGGGGACTCTGAAAATCCATAGAGCTTCTTGGAGGGGAGACCCCCCCTTTCCCATTCCCTCTCTCCTTCCCTGCCCCCTTGGCTTTTTCTTTTGTTGTGGGGGGGGCTAAGTCCTTTCCTCTTGGGGAGGGGCTTCACCTGGATGCTGAGTCACTTGTGCTCCTTTCGGGGGGTTTACAGGTCTTCTGTCCTTTCAGATCCAGGACTGACCATACAGAAGGATAATTTCTGCCCCCCCCCCCTGTTCCAGGGACCCCAATGAGTTCCACCCCTTTGCATGCAAGCCCATCACTTTCCTTCAACGTCCCCTGCTGTCTCTGGGGCCGGGCGATCTCTGACACCCCTCAGGCTTTGGGACTCGCTCTTGGACGAGGGGTCTCTTCCCTCGACCCGCTCACAACCACACCTGGGGCCTTGAAGAGGCATTGGGGGTCTTACCTGCTGGGCCCTCCTGAAAGTGGCCGGTTTGATTTGGGCTTGGCCCCCAGGCCCCCTCTGGGGCACCTAGTGCCCTGCTGCTGGCACCAGAATAGCTCTGACTACGGACCGGTTCAGCATATCTGTGGGCCCAGCTTGGCTTTGGACCCTCGTCCGCTTCGGGATTATTGCCGATTATCGCATCATGTTCCGGGTTGCTTAACTGCTTCGTGTGGCCCGTGATGGGGAGCTCCGGGGGGGGGGGGGGGGGGGGGGGGGGGCAGCTTTTGGGTCTAGAGACAGAACCTGGGCGCAGAATCGGGCACTCGCGTCCCTCCGGTGCAGCTGGCCAGCCTCTCTGGAGAGGAGCCCAAGGCTTGGCCGGGGAGCCCCTCCTCTGCCCCCCACCCATCCGTCTTTGGCACTGGGGGTCTCCAACTCAGACCCGGGGACAGACCCAAAGTGCAAAAGCTTCCTGGTCTTAGCTTTGGCTGCTGCCAGCCTTGCAAGGTAGACTAGGCAGGGAACAGGGCTGGACGGTGAGCCTGTTTTGTTGGAAAGTGCCAGTGAGAAGGCCGGGGCAGCCCGGAGGTGCATCTCTCCCCATCCCACCCCCCCGCCTCTCTTGCAGCCGGGGAAAGCAGGGAGGGTCTCTCCTGAGCCGCCCGCCCTGCCCTCGTTCCTGCTCTTGGCTGTTTTCTGACCGCCCCCTTGCTGCCTCCCTTCCTCCCGCCTGCCAAGGCCACCACAGGTGAACCGGCTGGAAATTTACTGGCGAGGGAGCGCAATATGTGGATTTGTCTTCTACGCGGCCTAAAGTTGCACTGGGTATGACGGGGCCTTAATTGAGGGGATCATCCTCCAGGTAATCCCCCTCCTCCTCCTCCTCCTCAAAATGTGCATCCTTGCATACACAAATGCGTACAGGTAGTCCTCACTTAATGACCGGCCACAGTGACCGAAGCTATGACAGACCAGACCAGAACCCCTCGTACCCTCCTCCTTGGCAGCCTGGACGTGGGGCGAGGAGGCTCCTTGGAGGCTGCCCACCTCAACAGCAAAGGCTGGGACTTCCCTGCGGGAGTCATTTCCTCCTCCTGGCTTGCAGGACAAGAGTCAAGAGTCTCACCCTCCAGTCCTCCCCTCGGGCCCAGTGCAAAAAGGGCTGGAGGAGAAGGATGGGAGTTGTAGTCCAGCAGGTCTGGAGAGCCTGGCTCAAGAGTGGTCATTTGGGGGAGGGGGTGAGTCCAGACCCTCCCACTCTGGCTTGGAGCCCCTTCACTGGGGAGGCTCCATCAACCCTTTGCAGAGGTTCTGCCACCTGGGCATTTCCGCCCAAGTTCCCAAGGTGGGCAGCCTTCTCCTCCGCTGTTTCCACCTTTCCTCCAAGGGCTTTTCAACCCTTGCCCAGGAGGGGGCCTGAGCTGACCAGCGCTCCTGGGGGTCCCCTTAGCCCGGCTCAAGGTCTCCTCTACTGCCGCGATTGAGGCGTGACCCAACCCTCATGGGCCCCGCCTTCCCAAGTGGGGCTGCCGGGGCTCTGCGGATTCTCAGAGCCCCCCCCCCCCCCCCGCGGCTGCTGGTGGGGGGGAGAAGCTGGCTGCCCAGGGAAGGGAGGCCCCAGGCTCCTTCCGGCAATGCGGAGCCCTTCTCCCTTACGGGAGAATATGGAAGTGAGCTGCTGAGCCACCCTGCCTTCTGCGTGCCGCCGGCTCCACCGCGGGTTCTGTGGGTCAGGGGTCCACGGGAGGGGGGTGGAGCTTCACCTTTGCCACCTGCCCTGCCCCAAAAAGTGGGGGTGGCCAACCCCCTGAGCCAAGCGGGGGCTCGGGGAGAGCCCCGTGGGCTTCCTGGGGAGCAGCACTTGGGTGGGTCCATTCCAGCCGACAACGGACGCTCCAGAGTCACGGGATGGCGTCTCTTCTGACATGGCTTTTCTGGGTCTCCCCTCTGCGGGGGCCACGGTGGGGTCCTGGGTGGCCCCCCTGCTACCTCCCTGCGTTTCCCCCTCCACCCTCGGGCCTTCCACTCGCTCCTCTCCTCCCGATGCTGCCAGGTCTCCGCATGGGGAGTTTCCGAGAAGCTTTGCTATGGGGGGGGACAGACCTCCCTCTCCTTTAACCCAACAGCAAAGTCCCCGATTTGAGGGGAGAAGCAAAGGCCTCCTTGCTTTGGGTGGAGCCCTCCGCTGCCAATGAGGGAGCCCGTTCTGTGGGCCCTGGGTTGGGTAAAGACAGCCGGGGGGGGGTGGTTGCTGGGATGTCCCTCCCCATATCTCTTGTGGGGCCCCCTGAGGGCATCCATGCGCTTCCTAGTGGCAATGGCTGAGCATCGCTTCTCCTCCGCAGGGCCCAGGGAAGGTAGCTGCCATGCCGGTGCTCAAGAACCCCCATCAGCTCAAGGCGGCCGGCAGGGGCCCTAGGGAGAGTGGCGAGGGTGGCAGCCCCAGCGGGACGCTGATCCTGGCCAGGGAAAGTCCAGGCACCAACCCTTTCGAGGAGGACCTGGAGGAGAGCGAGAAGGACTCCTTCCTCGGGGGCATCTCCCCCCGCCGAGAGAGGTCCCTCCCAAGCGACACGGCAGACCTCGAGCGGGGCCTCTTCAGTGGCAGCCCCGAGGACCACTTCAGGCGCCGGGCCACCCTGGAGAAGCTGGTGGGGCTGAGCCCCTTCCGCCTGGGCAAGGGCCGCAAGGGCGGGGAGAAGCGGTCGCCCGGGGGAGAGCAGGCCTCCGACCGGCGGTCCTTCCTGGAGCGCATCATGCTGCCCCTGATGGAGGGCGGCCTGGGCCAGCGGGTGCCCGAGAAGAAGAAGCCGCGCCGCTGCTCGGAGGACTTCAGCCTGCTGCAGCGGTTCAATGGGCGCCGCAAGGAAGGCCTCTACAGCTCGGACTGCGGCCTGGCGGAGGAGAACGGCTGCGGGGAGGCTGCCAAGCGCGGCTCCTTCCTGAAGATCGGGCTGGGCGGGAAGGTGCGCCGGGCGTCCCTGGTGGAGAAGCTCAACCAGACGGAGGGCTCCGAGGCGGCCCCGGCGGCCGAGAAGAGGGACCCCAAGCCCAAGGAGCCGCTCTCGGGTGAGTCTGGCCTGGCTGGGCCCAACGGGGAGCCCGGCACCCCTCTTGGCCCCCTGGCAAGCGGAGCCCTCGGAGGGGGGCTGGAGAGAATGCCTAACCCAAGGGCCAGCTGGGGGGGGTCCTGATTGCTAGCTTAGGTCTGGGGGTCCTCAAGACCTCCCCCTTCCTTCCAGCGCACCCCTGTCCCTGCTTGTGTAGTGGAGGAGTCCCTTCCCCAAGCGAGCAGCTCAGCCCGGAGGCAGCCGGAGGTGGGCCAGCCAGTGCGGCCTCTCCAGCCGTCGTCTGGGGCTCAGGGGTCCAGTCGCTGCCTGCCTGTAGCATGAACCACCTGCTTGGATTGAATTTCTTCCACTGTCCGTGCCGGCTGTGTCCATAGAGAATTCCAGGGGGGCCCTAGCAATCCCCCCCCCCCCTTGCCCCCCCCACGTGCGCTGGGCGCCTTCTTGGGGCCTTTGCACACAGCCGAGGAGAGAGGCTGGTCGGGGAAACGGCCCCCAAATATGCGGAGCCCCGATTGGTTTCAAGCTGGTGCGTTGGATCTCTCTTTGCTTGTTGGTCGCCCCTTCCCAGATTCTGGGCAGTTCACAGCAACTGCAGGTTAATAAGATCTCCTAAGTACACGAGGGAGTCCTCGACTTACAAGAATTCATTTCGTGACCGTTCAAAGTTACAACGGCACTGAAAAAAAGGGACCGATGGCTATTTCTCCCAGGGGCCCCTTTTGCAGCCTCCCTGCGGCCACGTGGTCAACATTCAGGTGCTTGGCCACTGACTCGCATTTATGACAGTCGCAGTGTCCGGGGGTGTGTGTCAGGTGATCCCCTTTGGCAAACTTCCAACAAGCAAAGTCAATGGAGAAGCCGGATTCGCTTAACAACTGGCCTAGTAACTCATCAACTGCAGTGATCCGCTTAACAACTGAGCCAAGAAAGGTTGTAAAATGGGCAACACTCACTCAACAAATGTCTCGTTTAACAACATAGAATTTGGGCTCCCTTGTGGTCATAGGTCAAGGGCTGCCTGTATAATTTAAATACCCCAGAAAGCACCACCACCCCCGCTCCTTCCAAGGGGGGTTTGCTATGACGGGGCTTTGCCAGCAGGAGGGGCTGCTGCAGACTTCGGTGCCAGCCAAGATCACCTGGTGACCCCCCCCCCCCCCCCCCCCCCCCCCCCCCCCCCGCCCCGGCCCCCCCCCCCCCCCCCGGGGGCTCCCCCCGCCCCCCCCCCCCCCCGCGGGGGCGCGGGGGGCCGCGCCGGGGGCCCCCCCCCCCCCCCCCCGGGAAGGACCAGCGCTGGGCGTCGGTGACCTTGGCCAGGCTGTTTATCAGGCCTAATGAGCGTCTCTTCCCTTTGTGCTCATATTTCGGGCTCATTGTTCCCCGGCCGGCCGTGATTCAGCGCCTGATTGCAGGAGGGCCTCCTGAGCAGCGGCCTGTGACCTTCCCAGAGAAGGCGCCAAGGAGGAGGCGCAGGGAGGCCAGCCGTGCAGAAGCCACCCCGCTGCCCCCAGAGGCTGGGAAGACCCTCCCTCCCCTCCCCAAAGGCCCAGGGCCGGCTAGCGGGGCTGCTCTCCTTACCCGAGAGCCAAGGGGGCCGTGCCAGCCCACCCCCAGTGCCCCCTGCGAGACCCCTCCCCTCCCCCAGCAGATCTTGGCCCTTCGGCTGATAAGGTCATAGTGGTGGCCGGAGGCGGCTGCGTCATCCCGTCTGGGGCATTTCCCCCCCACCCCCCGGAGGGCAGGGAAACGGAAGAGGCGGCTGCGTTCAGCCCAGCCAGACCCTCGGCCCTCCAGGGCTGCGGGCAAGGAAGGCTCCTTCCTGCAATGACGAGGGGGGCTGCCTTGAAACCCTCGCAAGGCCGGACGCCAGACCTGGGCTTCTGGCAAGCGGAGGATATGCACGAAGGCCAGGCCCCCCCTTCCCCCCCACCCCCCATGGCTGCCAGGCCCCCCTTCCCCCCCACCCCCCATGGCTGCCAGGCCCCTTCGGGTTGCAGGGCCTCCTCCAATTGGCCCCACTTCCTCCAGCCCTGGCACATAGGAGAGGTCGGGGGGGTGGGGCTTGTGAGTTGGATCGCCCTTCTCAGGAGGGGCACCTCAAGCATGCCAGCTGTGGGTGCTGGGTGGGGGGCAGGTTGCCTTGTCCCTGGGCGGGCAGCCTACCCCTCCCTTGCCCTTGCCGTGCCCTGATCCAGGAGGCCAGAGCAGCGGTCTGGGGGGGTTGGCCCCGGGGACCCCTTTCCTTTGCTTCCTCCAGAACGACGGAGGGGCCCAGAGGTTCACACTGGCTGCCAATCCCTTGGAGGATGGAGGAGGAGGAGGAGGGAGAATGGTCTCCGCCCAGTCGTGTCCGAGTCTTGGCGATTCTCTGGGCGGCTCTCCTCCCCGCCTCCTCCGGCCCTTCACTGCATATTGAGGGCTGCCTTTCTTCGTCGGGGGTCTCAGGCCCCAGAGCCCCCCTTTCTCAGGCTCCTTTCCTCCCTGTGTCCCTCGCTCAGTCCTGGAGATCTTCCACCTCATCCATCAGCGGGACCTCGGCCTGGCCGACCGGCACATCGTGGAGCTGGAGGCCGAGTGCGCCCAGGGGGGCGGCGGGAAGGACGGCAGCCGGAAGGCCAAGGACGTGGCGCTGCTCTACCAGGCGCTGCAGAAGGAGCTCTGGGCGGTGCTGGCCGAGGCGCTGGCCGCCAAGAGCGCCTACCCGCCTCTGGAGCAGCTGGTGCAGGTCATCGAGCAGGAGGAAGAGGCCGACCGCAGGTGGCGCCAGGTCCAGGCAGATGCCGTGGGGGCCCCAGGGGCCCGGCCCCGGAAGATGAGGCAGCAGTGGGCCGAGGCGGTGGACCGGCTGGTGGGCCAGAGGCTGGGCCAGTGCATGGAGGGCCGGGCGGGCACCCTGGCCACCCAGATGGACCGGCTGGCCAAGTGCACGGTGGAGGACCTGAGCAGCGTCAGGGGCCACCTGCTGCAGGCCTACCCCAAGGAGTACCAGGCCTTTGGTGTCTACCTGGGCAGCTACCACCGGGGCCTGGCCCGCTGCCTGGCCGAAGGGCTCCGGAAGCAGCTGAGCCTCTCCGAGCTCTACTTTGTCTTGGACTGGAACAGCAACATCTACCAAAGGTAGGTACGGGGAGGGGGAGGCCGGGGCCCCTCCTGGGACCCAAATGGGGAGGGGGTGGGGGAGGGGGCAGCCCCGGAGGGCGCAGAGTTCTCTTACAAGTAAGCCCAGCTAGAAGCTTCTGCCTGACAGACTCTCCGGGGCCTCTTCCCACTCGGGGCGCAGGACTTGCAGGCTCCCTGGGAGGGAAACGGAGCCTCCCACAAGCCCCTTTTCAGTGGCAGAGCTCAGCCCCCCCCCCCCACACAGCAAAACCCTCTGGCGATGCCCGGCTGCTCCTGGGCGCAGAGCTGGCCCGGTGACACCATTCAGGCACTATGCAGGAGCCTGGATTGTGCCGAAAATTGCCCCCCCCTCTCCCCCAGGGAGGTCCTCCGCCGGCTGGAAATGTCCCCCCAGGTCAAGGGACAGGAGCTCGGCCCCCTCCTGTCCCCGGAAACGCAGCGGAGCCTGGAGGAGCAGTGCATCGATGGCGTGAAGGTAATGGCTGGCCAGGAGTGAGGTGGGGGGGGAGCCATTGAGGCCCTGGACAGGCCAAATAGCATCAAGGGTGGGGAAGAACCCCCCCCCCCCCCCCCACACACACACCCTTGCGGTCATGGGGAGTTCCTCTCCTGTCCAGCCCCGAAAGGGACCGTTTTCAGCCAGGCTGCTCCAGCCAAGGAGATGCTTATCCAGGGCCAACTTTGTGTGTGACTTTACTTCCCCCCACGAGGCACGTAGGCCCCACTCCCTGCAGGGCAGAAGGCCGGGACCCCGGACACAGGTGGTTGTGGCCTTCCTTGCAAGGGGGCCCCAGAGACCCCACCCTCCCTAATCCTGCTCAGTCCTGAGAACAGCACAGAGCCATCCAAAACCCTCCTTCAGGGCAGCCTCGGGGAGGTGACGGCCAGCCAGGTGACCTCAAGAGGTCTCCCCACCTCCCCCATATCCCCAAAGTTGCAAGCCGTGGGTGCCCCCCTCACCTTGGACTCTCCGGGGCATCGGCAGGTGACGATCACCAGGGAGATGAGCCAAGCGCTGCAGGAGGAGGAAGCGCGGTGGGCGCAGGAAGACAAGGAGAACAGCTTTCCGTTCGGCCTGTCCAGCAAGGTCATCCTGGTACGTCGGGGTCCCCACCCTGCCCTGGACCCTCGCCCCCTTTCTGCTTTGGGCAGCAGGCTTCCTCCCAGGGCACTTGGCCCCACACCAGGCCCCCCAAGGAGGATCCCCCCACCCCGCTTCCCAGCCCTGGACTGACCCTTGGGAGCGGCAGCCAGGAGCCGCTCCGTCCATTGGCCTGGCTGGAGACGTGGGCAAGGGCTTAGCCCAGCCGGGGCACCAAGGTTCAGGCTGGCTTCGGACCCAAGGCCCAGCATCCTTGCTTGCCGCGGTGGGAATCTGCCCTCCGCCAGGGCTGAGCCCAGGCCTGAGCGCTTGCTGCCCCAAACCAGGATTAAAAGCAACCAGGTTTGGCCTTCTGTGGGAAGGCAGCCCTAGAAGGTCCGTCCTCCCCCCAGCGACTCCCGCGGGGCGATGGGAGCTGCCCTCCGTCCCCACCGCTGGGCCCAGTCCCTTCTCCGCCATGCTGGGCCATTGGAACATGCCTGACACTGCTGGCTGGGATGAAGGGAAGGGCAGAGCACTAGAGACCGCCAGCACAGTCCAGCACAAATACACAGGTGGCATCAGAGGCCAGGCCTAAAAGGGGTCCCTCTGAGGGTGGCATGCTGACCCTGGCCGCAAAGGGGGCAGCTGCCCCACTTCCCCCCCCCCGAATCTCCCGGGGGGCCTTGTGGGTTTTGCTGAGCCCGTCTCTCGCCCTGCAGGTGCTGAAGGGGCATGTCGACAAAGCCCTGCAAATCACAGAGGATTTTGGAAGGAGGGTGGCCCACTGTTGCCTCGCCAGCCTGGTGGAGTTGTTGCAGAGGTACTATTGCCCTGGGAGGAGCTGGGCATGGGCAGCACCTGAAGCCAGGCCCTCCGTGGGCAGCCAGTCGTCAGGGGGGCAACCCTGGCTTCAGGGCATCACATCTGGGGCAGCTCTGTCCAAGGCAGGGGAGAAACCAAGAGGTGGCACCACGGAGGGCACGTCTGGCTTTTGCCCCCAAAGGGCCCACAAGGGGCCTGCCAGTCATCCTCTCTCCTTGAGGGGTGCCCGGCACCTGACTAACTGCCCCGGGCTTGCCTGTGCTTCCCAGGGCAGAAGGAGCCCGGGGGGGGGGCGCTGGGCGGGCACACGATGGGCTGAAAGGGAAACTTCAAACTGGGCGCCAGGGATGGATTCACCTTGGGGTACAAATAGCTGCCGCGGCCCATTTATAAGGAGGAAACGCCAGCGAGGTGGAGCCGAGGGGCCTGTTGGTCAGGGATTCTGGGGTGGACGGCCAGAGCCCGGCCGGGGACTATTTTTAGCTGTCGGCTTCCTGATGTGCCGGTTTTCTGAGAGCCTGGCTCCCCGGGGGGCTCGTCTCCAGGGCCCCTAGGTGGGGGAGGGGCAATCTTCCCACATCCCGAAAGTGGCCAAAGGGGGGGGGGGTGTCTCTGGTGAACCGGCCCTTCTGGGGTGAGCGCGGGGGGCATTTCTTCAACTTGGCAGGTTCCGATCCAGGATTGCTGCAGAAATGGAGGGAGGGGTTTCCTGTGCTGGGGCGGCCAACCTCAGGGCGGGGGGGGGCCGGGACGGCCGGGGAAAACGGGGGGGGGCTGCTCCATTACTTTGCTCCCATGCCGGCATCCCCTTTGCCCCTCCCCCCTTCAGTTTCCAGAAGAAAGTCGAAAAGTTCCACGAGGGCCAAGCGGTCAGCAGCCTCAGCCCCGAGAGCTACATGGGCCGGACCATCATGCTGGTCAACTGCTGCCCGCCCTTCAGGTGAGTGGCCAGCCCTGGCCTGATGCCAACCGGGGAGCCCTCCTCACTGGGCCTCAAATAAATGGGGAGGAAAAGAGGTTCGCCCCCTCCCCCCGGCTGGCTTTGCCCGCAGCTGCTTGACGGGGCTGGGGTCTTCTAGGGACTACCTGGAGAGCCTGGCCAGCTTTGGCCACCCGGACAGCGAGACCGCAAAGCAGCTGGCAGTTTTGTCCCTTGACCGGGTGACCCGGCTGGGCAACCGAGTGCTGGCTGACCAGCTCTTCCAAAGCCTCAAGGTAACCCCGGGGTCTCCCCGGGCCTGCAAGGAGGAGGGGTCCATAGGGAAGGCTTGTGCCCCTGCCCCCCCTTCTGCCCAAGGCCCCAGAGGGAGAGCCGAACCAGGTGGCTAGATCATGGTTCCCATAAACCAGGGTTTGTTCCCTCCACATTTTGAGAACAGGCCGATCGGGTGGGCTGACACAAACCCCACCCCACCCCGGGCTCAGTGGGTGGTGGGTTCCCTTGGGGTGTGGGCCTGGCTTGGAGCCAGGGAAGCCCCCCCCCCCCCCCCCCCCCCCAAACAGCCCTACTTCTACAAGCTGATGAAGCGGAAGTGGCTCAGCAACCACGAGGCCTTTTCCACCATCATGGCCCTCCTGGCGGAGCACGTGCAGAAGCTGAGCAGGATGAAGTTGGGGCCCTACCAGGTGAGAGCTGGAGACCCCCCAGAAAGGGGGGGAGGGGTGTGTGTGCCCACCTCTGCCAGCAGTTGGGGCCCTGCAGGGGCCGGTTCCCCTCTGAGCGGTCGTGCCCCAGACTGCCGCGGAGGGCCAGCCAAGGCCGCCTCCTGCCAATGAGAGACCAGGGCCTGGGGCTGCCCCCGTAGTGCCCTCTCCTACCCCAGAAGCCCCGCCCTCTGCCAGCTCTGATCTCCCCCCCCCCAGATGCTGGTGAGGGAGGTGCACCGGCGGGTGCTGATCGAGTACGTCCGGCCCCTGATGCGAGTGCGGATCATCTGCACTTCGGCCAAGATGAGGGCCAAGGTGGCCAGCAGGCTCCGGGGCGAGGCCAGGCAGCTCCAGGAGTTCTTCGTTCAGCTGGTAAGAAGTGGGGCTCCAGGCCTCCCCACCGGATTGGAAATGAAGAAGGGGGGGATCCGGCCCCCCGGAGAAGGTGGCTAAGCGGGTGGGGGGCTCTCCTGGGGCCTCGGAAGGGCCAGAGGAACGTCCTCCGCCTTGCTCAGCCTCTGGCTCCGTGAGGGCGCACCCGGGCCGCCTCCTTTGGCAGCCCCCCAAGAGAGCCGGCCCCCCTCTTTCCCCTCCCCTTCCTGAGGGGCTCGGTCTGCAAGGGTGGCAGGCCAGACACCCCCCGCCCCCCCCAGGCCAGCGAGGGTCTCCCCCTTGAGGCTCCTCCTCTCCCTTCCCGCAGGAATCCTCCTCCTCCTGGCTGGACTCCGTGGTGCCCCACCTGGCGGGAATCCTGGAGCTGGAAGACACGCCGGCCATCCAGATGGAAGTGGCTTTCCTGGCCAGGGCCTTTCCTGACGTGCAGTGAGTCGGGGCTGGGAGGGGAACCGGCCCGGGGCGCCCAGAGCACGGGCAGGCGTTCTGGCCGTCACCTCAAGAGGCCTGCAGGAGCCTGGCTGGAGCAGACCCTCTTGGCCAGGGCGGAGGCCCTTTGGGGAAGGGGAAGGGCCATTGCGTATCTCGGCCATGTGAGGCTCCCCCTCCTCCTCCTCCCCCCCCGGGGGGGCTGGCCGGTTCCCATCCTAAAGTGTACCGGATCTCAGCTCTGGCCACTCGTCCCTCTGGTCACTCTGAGCCTCTTTCCCGCTTGGTCAGTTAGTGGTCCCTTGGCAGGCTGGACCTCTGGAGGTGGAACAAGACACCCACCACCCCCAGTCACGGAACTAATGCACGGGGACGATGGGACTTGTAATCCAGCCTCCTCCTGGGAGTCATGGGTTCCTTGCAGCTGCTTGGGCCAATCCATGGAGACCCCCAAGAGGGAGATAAAGAAAAGGGCCGTTGAGCCCGGCTTCTGCCAGGCTGGCGTCCCCCTTCTCCCCTTCTAGGTTTGGGGCCGTTGGGCTGCTCATTCTTGGCGTGGCTCTTTTGCCAAGTTTGGCACCAGAAGAGGCAACGCTTTGGCCTCTCTCCCCTCGGCATTCAAGCAGAGCCACGGGAAACCTTCCACGTTTCACCCTTCGGTCCACCTGCCCCAGCCCTCTGGCCCCTTCCGAACAGCCGGTCTCCCAAGGGGACAACCCAGGCTCCACTCCACTCCAGCCTTGGGCCAACAGTGACCTGGGTCTGGCCCAGGCTAGAGTCCGGCCCGTTCCACACCGGGTCCCGTTGAGAGCCAGGCTCTTCACCTGGATGAAAGAACGGGCCCGAGATACGTCCGTCTGGTGGCGGGGAGGAGGCGGCTGCTGCTGCCCCACTCGGAATTGGTGTTTGGGGGAGTATGTGTCCCTCCCTCCCAAAGGAGGAGTGTGTGGGGGGGGGGGCTGCTGCTAGGACCCCCGGAGACCTGCCCCCCATCGCAAGAGGGGAGTGGCCATGTCTCTGTGAGGAAGGAAGGCGGCCGTGGGGACGCGTCCAGGGCCAGCACCTCCTCCCTCAGCTGTGGGCTTCCAGAGACCACCCGGAGCTCCCTGCCCAGGAGACCCTGCCCATCGGCTCTCGGCTCCAAGGGGGTTGGGGGGCCGCAGCCACCTTGCCCCTTGGCAGCCTCTGCCTGCTCCCCTTGGACCTCTGCAGGGGAAACTGAGGCAGGTAGATGACGCTCCCAGGTTTCCTGCAGGGAGCCGTCTGTGTCCCCCAAAGGAGCCGCTTCTTGGAAGCAGGACGGTCCCTCCAGTTCCCAGGACCAGGCGGCTGGGGAGTTATAAATACCCTTCCCTTCCCCGCTCTGCCCACACGGCTCGGCTGGCTACCAGCCGGCTGCGTCACGGTGGAGGGGGGGGGCCAAGCCGGGCCTTATCATGCCTCCCCCCCCCCTTGTTTTTCTTTCCATCTTCCTGCTGATTGCATCCTTAGGAATTGTTTCGAGGCGACAGATCGCCCCTTAAGGGTGGCTGAAGGACGTTTCCTGTTTTATCTGGACTTCTTGTTTCTTGAAAGGAAAGAGAGAGAGAGAGAGAGGACGAAGCTGTCCATCAGAGCAGAACTAGTGGCTGAGCTGCAGACAGGAAGCAGAGCTTGGGGGCCATTTCCTGCCAGACTGCCATTTGGGGCTGGCAGCGGGACAAGAACCACACTGGCTCTGCCAGGATGCCCGGAAGCTCCCCTGGGGCGCCAAGGGCCTCTGGGCACATCTTCGGGAGGGAATCTTTTGGCAGAGGGCACTGGCTCGGGGCCTCCCCCCAGCCTCCTCGGTGCCCAAGACGTGCCACTTGCCACCCCTTGGGAGAGTGGGGATTCATCCCACAACGGTGCCCGGCCTGCGGAGGGGGGGGAGCGTGCCTGCCAGCCGGAGCGGGGGGGGGAGGGGCAGCAACCCTTTTAAGCTGCCCCAGCTGGGTGGCTTGGAGGAGCAGAGGGGCCCTCCCAACAGTGGGGCAGCCATGCTACCAGCCCCACTCCAGGGCTGCGCTGGCTTGGATGTTCTTCTGCCCCCCCCCCCCAGCCTCCTGGCCAAGCCCCCCTCCCCCCCTCCCCTGTGCCGGGGAAAGAGCCCCCCCCCAGGAGCCCCAAGGCAGCTGCTGCTTGGCCCCTCTGCCGCCCCATCCTCGGACTTCGGGGCCTGGCTGAGGGTGGGGGGCCCTGCCGACCTCCTGAGGGTAATGAGCATCCGAAGCAGCCGGGCTTTCAGTCAACTCTCTTGCAGGACAGCGGAGGGTGGGGGTGTCCCCCCAACTTGGTCCTCAGAGACGAGAGCTTTGCAAACTGCCACTCCACCCCCCCAGAGGCTGGACACCCAGGAAGGGCCCCCATCCAGCGCTTGGGGGTCCTGGGGGTCAGCTGCTAGGAGGGGCTCCCTGGGGGAGGGTGCCAGGGCAGGAGGGAGGTTTGCTATTCCCCTCCACCCGGCCAAGCACCCTGCCCACAGCCAGGGGCCTCTCTCTGGCCGGGCGGCTCCCCTCCTCTGCACCCCCAGCAGGGGAGGCCCAGGCTGCCTCAGCCTGAGGTGGGTTGGTGGGAGAAAGCCCCTCACCACAATTGCGGCCCGTTTCCTCCATTGCCTTGGCTGCCCAATGTTCTCAGCCCCATGGAGGGAGTCCTCGACTTACAACAGCTTGTTCAGGGACTGTTCAGAGTTACGACGGCCCTGAAAAAAGTGGCTGGCCTTTGCAGCCTCCCCTTGGTCACATGACCACACTCCAGACGTGACTGGTGTTGATGACCGTTGCCGTGTCCCAAGTAATCCCCTTGGGCGGCCTTCGGATTTCTCGGGAAGCCAGGTCCCCTTAACAGCCATGTGACTAACTTAAGAGCTGCAGTGACTCACTTAACAACGGTGGCAAGGAAAGCCATGAAGTGGTGCAAAGCTCACACAGGGTCTCACTCAAGGACAGAAACGTTGGGCTCCATTGTGGTTGTAAGCCGAGGACTCCGCATACTCCTTCTCCATTCTTTGTATGGGAACCGCCCCCCCCAAGCCCCATCCCGCAGGCACCTCAGCCCCGGGGGGCCCCGGGGGGTGGGCGTCCCTCCTGCCTCACCTTCCTCCTCTCCTTCCCTCCCCCAGAAAGAAGCACCTGGCGGCCCTCCTGGATGTTCGAGGCCTGCAGAGCCAAGCCCAGCGGCAGCTCATCCTGGCGGCCCTGGACAGCCTGGAGCTGGACGTCTGCCAGGACCGGGCCTTCTTCTCCGAGATCGCCACCCGCGAGGTCTTCTGTGTCCGCGTCCAGCTGCACCGACTCTCGCACTTGGGGCTGGCCTGCATCTCCCGGATGCGCCGGAGGCCCCCCCGCCTGCAGCGACAGAGGGGAAGGGGGCTGAGGGAGAAGGGGGCAGGGGCTGAGCAGTGAGGACCCCTGCTTGACCCCAACCGGGCATCCTCGGCCTTGACCCTTTGGCCCTTTCCCAAGAAGCCCTGCCTTACGGAGGAGCAGCGCGGCTGCCTGCTGGACACGAGGGCTCAGCTCTTGGGCTGCAGCCTCCTGCAAGTGGCCGACAGCCCCCTTTGACCGCCTGGAGTGGCCGTGGCGAAAGAGCACCGCTCCACGTGGGCTGGATTTGGGGGCGATTGCTGGGGGGGATAGAAAGGGGGCTGGAGGACAAATCCAACCACTCCTAGACCCCCCGAAGGGACTCCCACCCTTATAGCCAGTGGGTGGCTCTGAACGGCTGGTGCTCCTCTCGGCCCAGTTCGAGCCCAGGGCTCTTTCTGGGTTCAAGGAGGACTTCTCCATGAGCCTGGGAGGGCGAGGGAAGGAGGAAAATGCAGAGAGAGACCCAGCAAAGGCAACCCTGGTCCAGTCTGGGGCTGGAGCACCGGCTGGCGGGAGGGAGCTGGGATGCCCAGAAGAAAGGAGCGCATGGCCGCCTCCTAAGGCGCTCTGAGGCTCTGAGCGCCTAGCACAGCCGTCTGCCGACTTGGCAGCCTTCAGGCTTGTGGATTTCAACACTGCCTGGGGAATGGAAGCCCACAAGTCTTAAAGTTGCCAAGCCTGGAGACCCGACATAGAGTTGGAAGGGACCCCCTGCCCACAGCGAGAGATCCTAAACCGTAGAGGAACATCCGCATACGGATCCCGGGATCCCGACCCCCCCCCCCCCCCCCGAGTGAGCAGCAGCCGTCCAGTCGCCTCTCGTCCTGGTTGGGGTTCTGCATCATCTTCCCCCCTCCACATTTCTCTCCATCCTATCTGTGAAGGGGGGCAGGTGAGAGGGAAACCAGCAGCCCCCCAGCCCCCCAAAAGCCTCACCCGCTTCCTTCCCCAGCAGCTTGCAGGCAGGAGACCCCACCACCACCGTCCTCGGACCAGCTCAGTGGATCCCGGGCCACCATGCTGGGCACGGGGTACCCCAATGTTTCCCCCTTTTAACGTTTGGGCCTGGGCTGCCCTCGGAAGAGACCCCAAGGGAGCAGCCAGCCCCTTCCTCTCCTGCATAGCTGTGGTGCCACCAATTCTATTTCTGCCAGGACTCGACAAAGAAACGTTCCAAATTTCTTTTTGGCCTTGGGCAGAGGCTGGTCTGTTTTCTGAAGCCTTTTAATATATCCTGATTTGAAATGTAAAATGCTGCATCAAGACACTTAACTCCTTCGCCGCCTGGTTCAGTTATTTTCTCGCATGTATTAACGTGCTTATTTTGTTATGTATTTGGATTTTTATTTGAATTTTTAAATCCGGTATGTCTAATATATTGTAAGATGCTTAGATGAGTGGCCTATAAATTTTAAAAATAAAGAGCTAAAATAGCTACCTATCAGCCGGGTGTTGTTTTAGGAACACAACCAATTCTGGGGAGTGTGGTGGGCTTGTTGGCGTGCGGTGCGCGTGTTCCACTCCAGGGAGTCCTGGTGGCCGTCCAGAGGGTCGGGCGGACAGGCCACCTTGGAACGGCATGCTCTGTCCCAGCCTCTTGGCCTCTGGCGGGCAGCCTCCCCCCCCCCCATCCGGATCCGTGCTGGGAGACAAAGTGTAGTCACGCCGCGTCCCCATCAATCCTGCTCCTGACCTGACGTGTCCGGCTGATCCCCTGGCTGTAAACAGAGCGGGAAACGCCACTCATTTATCCTGCAAGATGTAAACTTTCCTGATGGCTGAAGAATAGCCGGCCTCTGGGCCAGCCCGGCAGCCTCCCGGGAACACAACGGGGCTCTGCAGGCAGAGCAGCAGCAGCAGCAGCCGTGAAAGGCTTCCCAGAATGAACCCTCCCCTCCCTTCCCTTCCCCTCCCCTCCCCTTGGAGAAAAGAACCAAGAAAAACAGTTTTTCTTCCTGACGCTTCCCCCTTGGCCGAGGATGGGCTGTGCAAGAGGTCAGGAGCCCTTCGGGAGCCCAGGATCCTACACCGGAAACATCCCAGAACTGATACAGCCTGGGGGGGGGGAGGGCAGCGGTTGGGGAAAGGGCCCACTGGGCCCTGCTTCATCCAGCCACCGCGGCGGCTCTTGGGGCCCAGCCCGTCCCTGGGCTGAACCCGGCAGGGGCTGGTTTCTGCAGAGGCTCTTGGGATGCCCCGAGCCCACCTGGCCCTTCTCCTGCAAGCCTCTTGCCTCCCCGCCCAAGAGCCCCACTCGCCAATCGCCTCCATTGGGGACCGAGGGGACAACTCCCGCTGGGCAAGAGAAACGGGGGTGGGGAGCAGGACCCAGGCACCTGGGGAACGGAAGCCCCCCCCCCCCCCCCCCCCCGCCTTTCCCTGTCCTCCTGAAGGCTTCCCCAGGACAGGGCCAGAAGGCGGGTGAGGGGTCAGGGGGATGTTTACACTCAGGGACGCTCAGGAAAAAGCCCCCACTTCTTTGGAGTGCATTTCCTTCAAAACAGCCCTGCCTGCCTGAGTGCTGAAATATGACTAGCCCTGCCAGAGGAGGGGTGGTGGGGGAGCTGGGAGCCTGAAGGTGAGGTGGGGCTGGGCCGATGGGCATGTTTGGCTTCCTGATCGCCTTCTGGCACAGAGCCCTCGCTCAAATTAAACCCCCCTGCCCCCCCCCGCCCCCGTCCTTGCAGGAGCAGGATGCGATTCTAGGAAGCCCCTCAGGTCTCCAGTGGGAAGTGGGAGGGGTTGGGGGGAAGCTCACAGCCTTTGGCCACTTGTAATAAGCTGCTGCTCTCCTTACACCACATCCAACTGTAAAGCCCCCTTTGGCATTTCCCTTACGGCCTCTGGCTCCGAGAATGCCGCCCTGCCTGGAAATGCTAAATGAGGGGGGTTTGCAAAGACAGGCCGGGCCCTAAGAGGACGGAGGTAGCTTTTAGATTGGAAAATGCAGCCCACTCTGGGGGGGGTGGGGGGTGTCCCAGGGGTCTGAAGGCAGCTTCCCAGTAAATCTCACCTATAGCGGGCAAGTCGTGGTTGCAGCTGACCCAAAGTCTTTTTTCAGTGGGTCCCTTCAGCCACCAGAGGCTGCAGGTGGTGCGCATGTGAATACCCCAAGGAGGACCCCAGAGCTCCGGCATGCAGGGAAGGCCTGGGCCACACCTGGTGGCTTCCTTTCAAGGTGGCTGCCCCTCACCTGCTCTCCCTTTGGCAGAAAAAGAGTTATATCGGCTGGACTGGGAGAGGCGGCTGCCTTGGACACTGCTGGGGTCAAGCAAGCAGTGCGAGCCGGGAACTCGAGTGGGGTCCTCCTAGGATCCATTCTGGCCAGGGAAGAAAACAGGAAGCTGGACCAGCCGCCCCCCCTGCCCCCCCCAAATAATCCCGGTCAGCTCCTGGGAGGTTGGAAGTGAAGCTGCAGCATCCACAAGGGAGGCCCAGCGGGTCTCACCCTGCCTGCAGTCCCCAAGGGCTGAGGGAGGAAGGGAGGCTATTTTCATCCTGGCCGCTGGAGAGTCCTTCTTGGGAAGGAGCCGCGAGAGGCTTCCCGTGCACAAGCAGAGGGCCTTGAGGACAGGAATAAGCCCTTCCTGGCCAAGAGGGAAAGGGTTGGAGGGAAACGCGGCGGAGGAACCCACGGCTGACGTCAGATGGGGGCGGCTGGGCGGGTGTGGGGCCCGGAGGCCAGGGGCCTCTCTGCACCCCAGGCCATGACCGCCAGCGGGGCTCTTGCAGACCCACTGCAGCCAAGGAGCTGCGCCACCTTTCCTGAGGCTGCCTTCCGCAGGCTCTGCCTTCTGGTAGGGGCTGGGCAGAGAAGGGCTTGGGGAGGGGGTGAGACCCATTGCTTGGTCTTTGCCTCAGTTCCCCCAGAGCCCGCTTGATGGAGCCCCCTAAATCCGTCCTCTTTGCCAAGCGTTGCCCCGCGGCAGGCAGGCTCCTTTCTCCCGGCTCCATCCCGGCCACTCAGGCTGGCACCGCCTCTTCTTGCGTGGGTGCCACATTAGCTGTAGAGCGAAGCAGCCCTTCTGCCGCTTGGGCAGCACCAGGGGAAGCAGCGCCCAGGGCTGCCCTCACCAGGCAGGGCTTCCTCCCCCGCGAAAGCAGGGCCCGGCCGTGGCTGCGAGGCGATCCCCGAGCTGCTCGATGGAGGTGGGAGAACGGGGCCCGCTGCGCGGCAATCCCCGCCCGGAGACCGCGAAGCGCCTGCAAGGCTCGTCCCCGCGGGCCGCCACCAACTGTCTCCCAGGCTCCCGGGGCACCAAACTCCGCTGCGACGGCGACACCCAGCGGCAGGAGGGCGCGCTGCACAGGGCCAGCCAAGGCCGAGCAGGCTTCGCTTCTGGTGGGATCGTCGGGCCCATCAGGCACTGCCCAGCCTGACCGCTTATGAGTCTGGGGGCCACCATCAGGGACCCCCCCGCCCCCGCAGCCCACCGAGCCGGCCACAGTAGTGGCGGATTAAGGCTTCCTGGAGCCCAGAGCACCGACGAATCTGGGTGCCCCGCGCACCTGTCGACATACTGCACGAACGAAGCCATATTGGCCACTTTGCGGTGCCCCCTTTGGGCCTGGGCTGCCCTAAGCACGCGCTTCGCCTGCTTCGTGGCCCATCCAGCACCCCGGCTCTCTCCCGCGGAAAGCCGCGCTTGGCTCAGGAAGCCGGGACTGCTGGGTTCACACAGCACGGGGAGCTGCCCCCCCCCCCGATTGGAGCGGAGTTTGCTTCGGTTCGCGCTGTGAAGGCAGCCCACCTGCGCGGGGAGGCCAGGCCCGGACTACCAGGCCCATCAGCCGCGCTCGGGGACGATGGGACCAGCAGCCCTCCCGCGCGAACTTCCCCGACGGTCTCCGGTCCCTTTAAGGGACGAGCGGGGGCGGGGCCAGGGCGGCAACGTCACGCCCGAGCAGGCGCAGCGCGAAGGCCGCGCCCCCGGCCGTCGGCGGGATGGAGCCTCCCGGAAGGTGCGCGGCGGGCGCTGCACGTGGCCCGGCGCAGATGGGGGCGCCCGGCGGGGCGGCGGCCTCGGGGCTTCCCGCGGGGCCCGCCCGCTTCCGCTGCCCGGAGGACTTCTGCGCGCGGTGCTTGGACCCCGGCGCCGCCATCTGCCTGGGGGCGCCCGGCAAGCGCCTGCTGCTCATCCGCGCCCCGGCCGACTTCCGCCCGGAGAGGTGCGCGGCGGGGTGGGCGGGCGGGGGGGGGGGGTCGACCGGCCCTTCGCCTCCTGCCCTGCCCGGCGGGGGACGCCCGGGGGCCGGAGGGGGGAGGCGGGGGCGGTTCGGCGGGGCTGACCAGCTGGCTCTTGTCCCCGCAGCCTCTCCGGCCACCGCCTGCCGCTCCTGGGCTCCCCACTTCTGAGGACATCGCAGCCGGACGGCAGCCAGAAAGTCTACGGTCTCCGAGCGACCCGGGAGGAGAGCGTCGCCCGCCTGCTGATCGCCGCTGGCCGGCCGGAGCGGCTCGTCTGCGCCCAGCCCTTCGGGGGCTCCCTGAAGATCCAGGAGAGAGACAGCGCGCCCGACGCCCCCCGGCCGCTCTTCCCCGTGCCGGAGAGGCCGCCCCCGAAGGTCCCCGCAGGCCTCAAGCAGCGTTTCTTCCCCTTCGGGGCCCGGCTCCCTTCCTCGGGAGCGCCGCCCCGGAAGGTTGCCCGGGCGAGGGGCAAGAAGCGGCCGCTGCTGCTTTGGAAGCAGGCGCTCTGGCCGTCGGAGGGTCCCGAGCAGCGCCCCCTGAAGGAGGAGGCGGAGGAGCCGGCGGCGGCAGCGGCACCTGGGCCAGCCACGCTCCCAGGGCTTGGGGGCCGGCTGCTGTGGCAGGATGCCCGGCCAAGTGGCCACTTAGAGGAGGCTTCCTGGTCGGGAGAGGCGGGCAGGAGAGCCAGGAAGAAAGCGAAGAAGCGGAAGACCCGCCCGGAGACGGAGGAGTTGCCGAATCCCAGTTCCAGGTACTGGCAGCCTGAATGGGAACTCCGCTTGCAGGGAGGGAGGGAGGCGGAGATGCCAGAGGCCGGGGCAGAGGGGCTGTGGGGAGCTGCTGCCACCAAGGAGGAGCCGGGGGATGCCCCCTGTCTGGGGAGCCTCCTGGAAGAGAATCCGAGGGGCACTGGAGAGGACCCTGCTGGGGAAGTCCCCAGCGGCAAGAAGAAGAAGAAGAAGGAGAGGAGGAGCCGAGAGAGAGCGGCGGAGGGGCTGTGGGGCCTGGCTGCTG